GAAAAAAGACTGGGCCGGTTCCGCTGGAATTGGCTGGCCAGCAGCAAATTTCAACAGTGCATATGGCCTTCCGCGGTCAACCACCACTAAGACACCTAGTGTTGTCGGAAGCACATATGATGTCTACACATCAGTGTGATAGGACTCGGAGGCAAGGTGGTGGAACCACAATCACTTCGGTCCTGCCTTGCTCCGAACATTATAATCCGGACAGAAGCTTGATTATCGCTAGATATCCGCAACGTCGAAGCCAGGATAGACGGTAGGCATCTGTCCTGGGGAGAAACGGAACATGAGGTAGGAGGCAGAGAGGCAAGGTCTATGGGTGACCATCTTGAAGGCAAATGACCCACCGAAACTCTAATGTTGGGGCTACATGGCCACTCTGCGGTTGGAGACACTAGGTATCCCGTAAGGGGGTTTACAGAGCCCTCACTAGTAACGCGGAACAGAATCGACAACCACTGCGAGTAATGTCCACAATGACGACTATTGGATATGATTAGGTCACCATAGTGAGTGGTTTTACTGCCTCTTCTCTTAGTCCTGGGCAGGATGTGCCATCCTCGTTTGACCGAAACCTGTTCAACGAGCCCCATGAAAATACCGGTGACGACTCTAGCTAAGGGTCAGGCGGAAAGTCGTCCAGACTGGCCTATCTACCAGCCACCCACCAGATGGTGGGAAGAAGCGTCCAGGTTCAAGCCTGTCTCAGCAGCAACAATCACAGTATAGTAGTGTTTGGTCTGATATCCAGTGGAAAACCACCACGGAGGGGCATCGTCTCTATCTTTACAACAGCAAGGTAGGTTGCGCGACGATGAACCAAAATCTGTTGACATCATCATGACCCCAGGAGTGGAGTGCCCTGTCGTTTGATCAACGCTAGGAGCTAGTATATGGCACAATCACGAGGGCCACCTCTGAAAACGTCCCAGCAGTCACAACGACGCCAAAGAACCAAACTTCAAGGGTGAAATGGAGAGCAGTATGCTTCTCGAAAACCAAGAGGGAAGTGTGGCACAGCTGAAGGATATCCAAAACGTACTCAGATCATATCGCACATGCGGCCCTAAGGAATCGACGCAACGTCAAAGTGAGGGGAGGCAGGGAGTCTTTCTGGACGAATCTTGCCCAAAAGTCATCTTCAACACACAACTGAGCTTGCCTTCATCCAAACGAAATTGTTAACCGCCCGAGCAACCTTTAGAACTACTCAATGCAGTAGCGTTGCGTGGAATGAGGGTCACCCCCGTAATGGTCCTCAAAAAAATACCAAGGCTCCGTGCGGATAAATCACCAGGACTCGACGACATTCCCACGTCCATGTTAAGACAGTATGCGGGCGCCTTATAAGTAAGCACATAAATATTTTATTCTCACGTTAGTAATTTAACATGAGAGAAGCCAGTTTACGGGCATTGTCACATTGGTGTATGCTGAAAAATCTATGAGGTTCTACGGGACCTGAGCGGTACAGAAGAGAGGCCATTAAATCCTATTAAAAACATCAGAAAATTGCACAAGTTATGAAATGAGTAAGAAAATGACGCTTTTCAGCATGTAAAAATCGTGAAAGTTTAGATCGTTCCCGGTCACACTACTTTCCGCCATTGGTGGCACCAAGGTCGCGCAAAATTCCAAGTTTCCGTTACAAGCAGTCGAGATGTTTCATTCGCCTTCGTAATCTAATGGTACACTTGAAAAATGTCCGTTTTCCATAACTTCTTGTACTTATAACTCTGGAAGCCAAACCCACGCTGAGGATTCCGGGACACTGTAACTTTCCACATAACCATGTAATTCAAGTTAGTCTGATCAACAACGTTTCCAAAAACATCAAGCTCACAGTGCAGAGGGAGTCAAACAGCCAACTACCACTCCTGGATGTTTTAATCAGTAGGACAAAAGACGGAAAGCTGGAAATCCAAGCTTGCAGTAATTCAACTCACTGACCGAATCCTCGACTACGGTAGCGACAGGCCAACAACTCACAAAATTAGTTGCGAGTAAACTATTCCAAAGAGCAAGAACACACTGAAGTACAAAGACCCCACGGAGAAAGGAATAAAATTATTTGATGTCCATCCTAAAGAAGGACGGCTACCCACGAAACTTTATCAGAAGATGCCTATCCCATACATCATCAACTACGAATGCATCACCCTACCGTGCATAAGGAATTTATCAGAAATTGCAACAAGATTATTGGGACGACTTGAAATTGGTGTGGCCCATAAACCAAACCATTCCCTCCAAACACTATCATGGATACCAAAGAGGGCACAACAACCAAAGAAGACAAACCGAACATCATCTACGAAATCAGCTATACTAACTGTAATCAACGTTACATTGGACAAAGTGGTCGCCCTCTTCGCCTTCGTCAATATGAACACCAATTGTCTATTGAACGTCACGGCGTTTCACCACTCATTTCAACGCACGTGGATGATTACGGAAATGAGTCCAATTTTGACAGTGTAGAAATTTCGGACAGAGAAAACGCGAAGAACGGCAGAGAATCTCTAGAGGCTTGGCATTCAGGTCAGCCAGCAATCAGTGGATGTATAGACGTAGACCCAATCCACCACCCAATGGGAAAGATGATAAGCGACAGGAATGTCAGAGGTCAAGCAGAGGAACTGCCAACAGGAAAATCCATGCAGTCAGTGACGCGCCGATCAGAGGAAACAGTCAACCACAGGTCAGTTCCTCAGGGTGAGCTACTAAATCACTCAGGGAGAAATGTTGGCAGCCCACTCCATACTGAGTTTAGTGCTGGAGATATCTCCTGGAAAGGTGGTGGAAGCTGCACGACTAAATAACCCAGCTCAGGAAAGACAATACAACTAAAAACACCCACCTGAGGTACAAATATCCTCCACCATTTCACGAACACCTGCTCCCATTTGAGTGAAAATCGGCTATTCTCTCTCATCCCCAAGAAAGGAGACAGGTAAGACCCAAAATCCTGTCGACCTATAACACCTCCATCGGTGATGTCGAAAGTGATGCAGAGCTTGGTACAAGATCGTGTTTGAGAGTAATTAAACAAGAGGAGAGAGTGATGCTCAACACGGTTTTCGAAAAGGCGGGTCCTGCGCATTAAGCATTCTGGCACCCGCTGATAACAGGATGGCATACTATAACCTCAAGGTCCATGCTCATACGATTTTATCGGATTTCGCCAGAGCCTCTGACACATTTTCACACACAGTTTTCATTTCGCAAAATACGAAGGTTGGACATCAGCGGTCAAGTGATCCTCTGGATGCTGGACTGTCTATGCGGCGAAGAACTCCGCACAAAAGTTAACGGGATTTGCCTGACCTGGAGAACATTACTATCTGGAGTATTACACGGGGCGATTCTGGTTTTCAGGCTACTCCCTCCTTTTGTGAATGACCGCCTGTTGAGTCTGAGTCCACCGATTTTACACCACACCGAGGATGCTAAGTTATTGAGAACCGTGACATCCTAGGGAGACAAACGTACCTCACATTGCTTGATAAATGGATGAATAACAACAGACTAGTATTTAATCCAGGTAAATGCCAAACCATGATCCTCAGCACCCCTGACTCTCAAAAAGTATCCTACCCTATCTGTGGTATGCAACTTTCTCATATCACCGCGGAGTAAGACGTGCCGGCTGATACTGATAAAGAAGCGCAAAGCTTTCAGGAGATGCCTCTAGAGCCTATGTGGTACTGCGCTTTACCCGCAGACAACTAGGTGCTCCCACCGCGGAACTCCTCCTGAAACTATCCGAGACCCACGTATGACCTTAATTGGAAGTCCACAACGTCATTGCAGCACCAAACCTGCAGAGAAGTGTGAACCCCCTGGAGAAAGGCTAGAGGTGAGCAGGAAAGGGTATTGTAGGAATGCGGTCAAAGCCCTGCAGGGACAGACAGAAGGACCTATGGCCTTACTGTCTTAGCTGCCGTAGGTTACGTAGTAAATCGAAAGCAGGCTGCAATATACCAAGTAATCTGGGTCATCCGAATAGTGGAATCCTGCTAAGCAGCAACTGTGGTAACCCTAGTGGTAATCCAGGGACAATCGCCCACCAAAAGGCGAAAACCAGTGTGGGGTTTCCGGTCACCGGAGCATATTATCTGTCGGGTTTGTTACTGCTCCGTCTGTCGAAGGCATCAAGGAGAGGTTGGACGGCGACATAGCAACGAACACTTTGCGCTCATCCAGACGACACAAACTAGACTGATACAACCTACTAAACTCCCACGACTCAGCACAGCTGACTCTATACCGAATCTTTCTTGCCACAACTGTCGTCGCGACCTTGACTCAACCTCACACTTCGCTGTTGGCGTCTCCTCCACTTACAACACATCCGATAATAACATTGTTATTTCTGTTCCCATTATCCATAGTATAGCTTTACTTGCTCGTTCCCTTCCCTCTGACTCTATGATCTCCCTGCCTCTATCACTGTTATCCCAAGTAATTCTCCCTAGGTTTCCCCTTCTCTTTCGTTTCGCTTCCCTGGACCTTGTTTTGTTTTTTCTTCGTACTTCCTCTCCCTTGATTTCTTGTAGCATCTTTACTATCTTCTTTTTATAATCGTTTTGAAGGACTGTCTGGTGACATGACACTTTAGGGACTCATCTGAGCAACGGTTCTTGGAAAAATCATAAAATCCTTACAAATTAAACCAACTCGTCAGGCTAACCGAAGCTACAGCAAGCCGGTGGGTAGACCTACTGCATCGGAACCCACAAATGATTTTGAGCCGTCCAACAGGACCTTGGAGCGAATGCGAAGAAATAGGGTAGTTTACACCAGCTCATAAAAAGAAGTTGAACATTGAATAATGGGCTGGAAAAGAATAGAAATCTACTGGAAAATGTTGAATATAGGGTCATAGCATTCCCTCCTCCATAAGGTTTCCTATGAAGTGGAATAAGCATCCAAATAACTATCGCTATCTGTTTCCACATCATGAAGTTATAAGTTTGTATTGAACATACTTCAATGCAGTTGCCTTGAAAAAACGCGGTGGACTGTTCGGGATTATTCTTCGCTGTTTGAGTTTTCTCGTAACATCATGGCGAAGTGGGGAGAAGGGGATCCACGATGGATTGTTGAGGAGCGAGCAGATGCAAAAAATGTCAATAATTGGCATTGGTCTGACAAGGATGCTACGAAATGGTCAGTCAAAACAATAAAAGAGTTGTTGCTAGGTTGTCAGTTTGAAGGTGATTTATGTAAGTAAGCGATTGCTGTCCATTAACGGCATCGCTGTTTTTTAAAGATGCTTGCAAGATCACTGATGTGCCGAAATGTGAGGGAGAAGCTAACGTTCACGTTCGCAAGGGGAAGTTAATATTCTTTTATGAGTGGCAGATTGAGGTTGAGTGGGAAGGTGAGTGATTATTACTTTCGACTTGCCTGTTTATATTATGGCTCACACTAACCAGCCGGGATGGTTTTCTTACTTTCTTAGTTTGAAACACAATAGTCTGATATCCTTAAATCATACCACTCGTGACTTGTGGGTTGCAAGCACTCATTAGCTTTCGAAACGGGTGAAATAGGTATTCAAGCGTGTCACCTAGTTTCTCCGGAATTAAGGTCAGGGGTATCTCAAAGATGCAGTTAAAATCCCCTACTTTATTAAAATCTGAAATACCTCTATACATTACCAACAATTCAACTGACGCCATTTTTATCCCATGAAGCATGATTTTATGCTGTGAACTAAAGGCAGAAATTAGTGGTTATTTGGTCATAAGTATTTCAACCTAAGTACTTTGTGTGCTAAATCCTATAACACCTCTGCGTACAGTCCAAAATGAATTAACAACGCGTTAGGAAAAAAGCTCGGGACAGTCAAACTAAAAAGTAACACGAGTTCATGCAGTTCTCGGTTATTGGTCTGAACTGTGCAAGCAGGTGTCAGCCTTTTGCTTCGGGTTTTCGAGATGTTAGAAATCAACGTTCAGAGACCTTTGGCGATACGGCTGGAAATCAGTGGCGCAGATGTATTCACCTTGGCATCTTCTGAATCTTGAGTTTTCTCACTAACCATGGTTTTCAAATTATTTCCCCTCATAATTTCTGCTTTGAAATCACTTTTTTCTCTGTCCGTCCTTTGTACACTACGTTGTTTTTGTCTATTTAGGTTTTATTTCGACATTTAAAATGTTTTCCACCTTCGCACCTACTGTAGTTTAGATATAAAGAATGAATTCTATCAATAGCTGTTAATTATTACACAAAGTAAAGCGCCCAGATATAGTCGCAATAACAGGCAATCAACGCTGAGCCAATCGGAGAGGGATCTTGGAGGTGTGTACAAAGTTCCATTCTAACGAATCGACGAAGGCAATCTTGAAATTTTGTGTGACAGTCACTTGTTTCTGTCTGGCACTAACTTCAAACGTGAATAGGGGCAGTTTCACTTGTACGCGGAAAGCAAATTAATAACGGACGCAAGTAGGTCATATTGCTACAAGCCATCATAGAGAAACGGTGGGGGAGCTTCCTCTACCTTTTTGTATGCCAATCACGCGTTAGTGTTAGTTTAGGCACGTTTGCGGTTTACACCTTACTAGTCGCAGGAAACAAATGGCAGTGAAGTCTGCGCTTGATCGGTTGAAAAATAAGAATCTCAAGTGGATATTTAGAGCTAGGTAAGCCTTTATCTGAACGTGACAACAATCCTCATCGTTATGAAACTTGGCATAATATTAAGTCTGCTGTAGAAACATCGGAAAATGCAGTCAGTAACCTACATCCTAGGGGTTGCAAACGTCGGTCGTTTTCCGTGACCTCATCTAGACTGATTGATACTAGATGGATCAATCCAGCTGTCTGTGATCACGACGGAGAGCGAAAGCAAATTATGTGTAAATTGGCCAAGAATCCTTGTTATGATCGCGAGTAGGGGTAGCTGATGAAAGAAATAAAAAAGGCAACACTACTAGGTAATACTCGACAATTATTTGGGCTTTTTATAGACACTGGCAAGAAAATGATGGCCATTGAGACCATCACCGATGAGGATAGGTTCTTAATGACCTCTGAGGACAGAACACTTCTAAGCACATCGACTGTCCCTCACCAATGCTTGTCGCCTGGTATTCAGCTGGAAGCTGAATGGGATATAGATGTCGATCTTCTAACTCAAAGTTGAGATTTCAAATCTAAAATGCTGCAAAGCAACAGAACCGGACGGCTTCTTAACATAGTTGTAAGGAAGGAGGTTGTAAATTACTTAATGGAGTTATGGAGGTACTAGTTAGCGTACGGAAACCAAAGGTAATCCTGTCGAACTAGTCTATTTCACCGATTATTTCAGTCTATAAGGAAGGATAGAAGTCTTATTATGACAACCATAAGAGAGTCAGTTCGAATAACGTTGTGTTCAAGATCTTATGGTCTGTAATTATCCCCGACTGGACTGGAGCTCGAAAACATCATACTCGAGGAAAACAGATGAGTTTCAGCATTCGAAGAAGGTACATCAATCATCTTCTGTCTGTTTCCGAAACACTGGGAAGCTTATCAGCACCATAAACTTGTCGTATTTCTTGATTCAGTTAACTGAGAGGTGTTGTGGCAGTGTCTTACTGTAAAAGGAGTACCGAGGAAATATGTAAAGCTAGCAAAAGCTTCCTACTTGAACTTGTGCAACCGTGTAAGAGGTTAAGGCGGATTTTTGTCTTTGGGAAGGGGGTTTAGAATAGGTCAGCCCCTGAAGTACCACTCTCCTCCCTGCCCCGCGGTCTTCCCCTGCTGGCGGTATGGGTTTTGTGTCCAGTGTTAGAAAAACCAAGTCTCAAGGCAACAAACTGCGAAAGGCTGTATGTGACAGGCCTCAAACAGATGTCTTATGAGCTATGTGATCGCACAAATCATTTTCTCTTTCAGGTGCCCTAAGAGTAAATAATATTCCACGGTATCGGCAACCGGAGTGTTAGCTACCCGCACACGTCCAGCAGTACACACGGACGAACGGCAAGGGTTATCGATTAAGACGTGGCATCAGCGTGTGAAGTTCTTAGCTGTCGGTCTGAGTCGTGTAAGGAGGTGTAGACTACCTGGTTGGGGTCGACGAAATGACAGGAATCAGTGCTTAAGGACTCTTGTTGACATGGTTGCAAGTCTGTCACAGTAACGCTTTCGGAAGCTGGAAGACTCCCACTGACCTTTGTCTTCAAATTGTTTCTTCTCCCATACGCTTTTGTCTACTTTGATATATTTTTTATGCACTTATTTGTATGTTACTGTGAAGTGTGGCAACTTCTCGAAAATATCCAATGGGTCTGTTCTTAGCAAGTGGTAGCTCCACAGCTTTGTTGTACAGTAAGCTAGTAACCTGTAACCTAGACTTCTCAGAGATTTGGTTTACACCGTTCTTTCAGTAGATGGTAGGAACGAAAAGTTCCAGTTTTGGCGACTCATCTATGTTCTTTATATGGGTTTACCGTGGAAGATTCTGGTTGTTACACGTGGTTGGTTTTCACTTTACGAGTACTTCTGCGTTACTCATGCATTCTAAATACAGTATTCCCTGAGGTCTTAGAATGTGCAATATTATCTTTCCATTCGTAATAACGAGGCAGCTTCAATCCTCGATAAATCCATACTAAGAAAGGAGTTTGCTTAATCTATATGCCATGGTTCTTATTTCTGGCATTTCCGGACTGTCGATTTCATGAACGTGTGAAATTTTACTACTCCTCCCCCTTATGTCTGTCATAGCTTTTTGAACTCAAGACAGTCAGATGAGCTGGTTTCAATTCCCACTTTTAGTTTAGATGGATTGGGATTATCGAATGGTAGGTAAGGGTCGTGAATAGCCGTGCTCATTTGTTCCCGTCATATCGCTTTCATTGCAGATATTCCTAAATAGTCTACATTTTGATACCATTCTTCATATTCAATGTAACCTAAAAGGGTTCCGCGGTAATCGACGTGCTAGAATCTACTTTCTAATGATGGTTGATTTCAAAATATCGTCTACTACTGTTTTTTCCCAGAGGCATAAAATAAGACTCGAATATCGGCATAAATATTCCTACTATATCCTACTACTCGTCAAATTCCTCTTTCTATCTGCTTTCCGTAAGCACTAACCGTTTGTGAGACTTCAGCTGCATCTTGTGTTCATATACGATTGCTCTTATGCACCAAAACCGTATTCATTCAAAGACATTTTGAAAAGCTAGTTCAATTATCTCTGCCTGTGAAATGATCTGTCCGTTGCGTCTATGGTTGGCGCTTTTAGCTTTTCATATTACACGCGAGTGATACTTACCGAAAAGGAGTGACTTTTAGGTATGTTTCCATTTAAATCAGTCTCCATATGTCCCTGTATTTGATCACGTAGCATTACTACACCCATAGTCGATAAGGCAACTCTGTAGTGACAAACTATTTCCTACATTGGTTCGTTTGCATTTCATATATTTGTGGTTTGTTGTTGGATGGATGCATTAAGTGTAACAGGTAGCAAGCAATTTTCGTGTGCTGAGTTATTAGGTGAGTTGTGTACGTGGAGTAGTGTCAGTCAAATGTGTTAACTCTCTCCATTTTTATTTAACTGTCGTAGACTTTAAATCTAAAGTGGCGATTGCTAGACTCGAGCTGAAGCAACGCATGAACCTCAAACGTCAATCATAATTATGGAGACGGTACTGTAAACAAGGCTTATAAGATAACCAGAATAACAATCAATTCGTCCAAATGTGGCACTTTCATGGGGGAAATCACCGAATCAATTATAAGAGAAGCCAACAAGATCCAACTAAGTAATCTACAAATAATGAACAATCAAAACTAGGAACTCACTACTCTCACAAGCAGACCAGTCAAATGACTAAGATCGTTCTGTACACAAAATTAATCAGACAGACAAAGACAACCAATCAGGATAAAGGCTAAAAGTGCAAGATGGCAGACAGGAATGCGACGAAACAAATATAGAGAAAGTGTCAATCAAACAGAGTAGGTTTGTGGTTGTGGGAATCGCATCACTAACCCAAAGACAAACGTATCGCACACTTAACTGACATACTTATGGAGGTTCCCCTCTCCTTATCTAACTTCAGAGGGATTGACGTCACAGAAAACCGCTTAGTCAGCTTAGAATAGACATGATATAGTTTTGTTGAGTGAATATGTCAACAAGATACAGGGAATTCTGAACACCTTGAGCTGATGTGAAGTGTGACAACTTAGACTGTTTAGCAGTAATACCAGGTCCCATGTTTATGCTGAATAGATTCGTCGTAAAGAAGACCGCTTTTTCACCAAACTAACACAACATAGCCCACAAAAATCGGGCATCAAAGCTTCAGATACCCTCAATTTGCTATGGTTGGTGACAAAGCGTGTGATACAAATAATAGTATGGATTCATGGGGCAAATTACTTAGTCTTCATTCATTAAGGTTTGTTATCTTAGATAAAAATCTAAGTACCTAATGAAGGAGTTGCAGATCATAACTTTTATAGCCTATGTAGTGATGTAGGGAAATAAACTTTCGTCTTTATTTGACATTTTGTTTGGTAATATTGTATTACTGACCTAGTAGGACTATTATTCGAATCGAAATCCACTCAACAACCTTGTTTACATTCATACAGTAGGCAAATAGCCACATTTATTGTTATAGCTGTCACTACTACTACTACTACTACTACTACTTGACTATCCAAACCTTAGGTGTAGCGGTGTTCAAACCCGTGACTCGATGGTTGAAAGTGAACTTCCTAAATCAATGATCGGCAATTTCACTAGGACTATTACTGGTCTGTTTGAGGTAATCTGATTAGGTTTTTGAATGATTGACTTCATTACCAGTGGAAGGGCTTTATATAAGAAACTGCCTAACTTTGTTAATGACATATTGGCATGAACCCACATTGTTGATCTTGTTATCTTTGCAGTAACCAAATAACATAATTATTCTCGTTCCTAAATTTTTTTTTATTTAGGTCACATGAAGCGTCCCGACGATCAAACGAAATTCAAGGGGAAGGTAGAAATTTTGAATATGAGTGATGAGTACACGGTGGATGAGCTTGATACAAATATCAGTTGTACTTCTTCCAGTTCTGATGGTGATTTAATGAGAGGTTTTGTTAAATTGGCTGGCATTGAATGTATCAAGTCTAAGTTAGAACAATACCTTAAACTCCTTAAAGAAGGTAAGTACATGACTTCTTCCTTGCGTATTTATCACAATAGAGTATGGTCGGGACCTCATTCTTCCAACAAAGAATGAAGCAGATGGGAAGCCCACTAATGTGCTTCAGTCTGGTGCAGTGCAGAATAAACTGATTAGTCAGGATACTCGCAATAGTAATGAAGTCAAAGAGCCTAAAGACATATCAAACAAAAATCTTTCGATAATGGATGAATTTTTTTGCACGCCGGATGACCTTTATAGAGTCTTCACTACTAAGGAGGTAATTCATTGTACATGTAGTTACTGTTTATATCGCAAGAGCTCTACTAGGTTGATTTTTTTTTCTTGACTTCTGTCCACTTTTTCTTTCGTGTTTATATTTCGCTGTGTATTTGAACTGCTAGAATTCTTGGAGTGAAGCAGCGAACCGATTCACCAAAACCATCCCTGTCTCATGTGACATACTGAAGAAAAGTCGAGAAAAATGTTAAATAGTGATCAGGCTCTGAGGTTGCCCTGGATTCAGTCCTCACATGATTGTTACGGCCTTTAATGTGTTACACAATTCTGTTTATGATTGTTAACTTGTTATCGTGTGTTTCATGATACATGTTCTTATATTTCATCAGGTTTTGTATTGAGTTAAAAACTGGAAGGTATGAAAGTGATAGCATAGTGCTCGACTTTTCAACTTTGATTTCTACATGATAATTTTCAGAAGAAATATCGACATAATACCATGAGATTACATTGGGTTGGACAATTTCATTTTCTGATTATGATGTTAAAATGGCTATATTCATCTTGTAGCCTGAAGTAAACATGTTTTGGTAAGGCTACTGCTCAAAGTCTCAGCCTGATTATATTTGGTGATGTACAACTATCTGCTCCCCCATGAAAATTTCCACTTGCTACACTCTAGAACTGTTCCGACATGGAAAAAATATTCTCAGTTTACGATGTTTTATAGTGATTGTGCTATTGATTATTCCATTTAGCTTAGGCCATACCCAGAGTGAATTTTTTTTCTACTTTTCAGTTGATTCAAGCTTTTACAAGATCTGAGGCTATTGTAGATTCAGTTGTCGGTGGAACGTATTCCGTCTTCAGTGGAAACATAACAGGGATTTTCGATGAACTAGTAAGTTTCAACACCATACTTTTACGCGTCCTAGAAGCTTTGTGTAAAACAGTTGACGTAGTGCTGCAAATAAAACGCCAGGGGTTTAACTGTTCGTGAGGCTCACTCTGTTGCTGATATTAAGGCATTTGTTTAGTCACACAGTCTTCGCGAATCCCACAAATGTTGCCGGCAACAGAACAAGTGAATAAATTTTTCTTTCCATGGCTACTACTCAGTGTTTCTTACATTCCACGTAAAATCGTTTATGTCATAAGAGATTCACTCCGACGCACTAAAAGATCCATAACTCCAACCAACTAACATTCGACAACTTCTGGGGTCGCAATGGGGGGCTGGATTAGGTTGGAAGAGGGTTCAGGGTGGTCAGACCAAGACGTGGGATCGGTCGGTGAAGTCTCTGACTGTTGCTCTAAGCGGTGTGAAGATATGTAGACTATTTGACTGGGGTTCCCGTGACGATAGGAATCACTGGTTGAGAACTCTTGGTGAAATGGCTGAAAATCGATCTTAATGATATAGATGTATTCAGTGCTTGGCATCTTCTAAGAATTGAATATTCGCACTAACCTTTATCTTCAAATTGCTTGTTCTTTCACACACAACTTTTTCTACTATGATATCACTTTCTATGCACTTTTTCTTTGTACTCTGAAGTGTGGCAACTTAGACCAATACACCTGTATGCAAGGTTCTCTGTTGATTCTTTCTGATTTCTGGGGTCGGTAAATACGTCACTTTCACTTTGCGATACATAAATCGTATGTAAGAGCGTGGTGTCATTAATTTATGAACAAATATATTGAGGTCGTTAATTCAACGTCTTTCATGTATTTTTGCTATAGTTACATAATATAGCTTGCATATTGTTTTGGTTAATATCGCTTTTTGTGTCTCTGAGAAGTAATAAAAGCTTTCACTTTCACATATATATATATATATATATATATATATATATATATATTAGGATTTTTTCGCATTACAACGCATAAAATTGATTCTCTTGGTTGAAAAAGTTGTGGTAACATTGCCCCACTTCTGACCACATTTTATCTTTACCATTATAGATTCCTGGGAAAACAATAAAGATGAAATGGCGTAAACGTGAGTGGCCTGAAAGTCACTACAGTAACCTGACATTAGAGCTAACGGCTTTTGAAGGTGGGACGCGTCTTTCTCTATCTCAGACAAATGTTCCTGCCTACGATCTGGAAAATACACGTAATGGTTGGCGTACTATCTTCCTTTCTGCACTTAAGCAAACATACGGATACGGTGGACGTATGTTTTGAATATTATCAGACACACACTATGATGCATATTTACTCAGCACGAGAGAAAATTTGCGGCAACATATACTAATCGACTGTATTCTTATACCTGTCGTTGTTGGTATTGCGAGCAGCTGACATCTTAATAAAACACTTTGTTTTATTTGTTGAGTTTTCATGTTTCATATGACTCAACTATCTGGGTCTTTTTGTTGAGTATGTTTCGCTTCATAACGCTAAACAAAAAGCCCATCGAATGTATAAGAATGTTGGTATTATTGTGTGACCATCTTTAAAGCTGTCTGCATTAGATTTTATCTTGATAGCGCTAGAATTTCTGAGAATGATTAGGTAACACTAAACATCTGAAATGTTAATATGCTTCCCGTCCTTTTGAGTTTGAATGTTACAATATCACACGAGTAAGTACAAGATTTTAACCATCAATGGTTGACATAAACTGTGAAAAATATGTTTAAGGAGACTAATAAAGTTAACAAAGTGTAGAAATAGAGAAGAGAAACGCTCACACAACCTAACATTTAGTGTAATGGTGATAGAATTTCAAACAAGCAACAAATGTATAGAAAGCAGCATCTTATGAATTCATAAGTTTCAGTAGAATTCCTCAGCTGAATTTTCTCCATACTTGTTTGAATATGTTATCGAGTGAGAAATGTTTTTCGACCTAAGATTGATGAATGATACGACAAAGCGTGCGCTGGTCTAACTAATCATGGCAGAAACCAACATGGCTTAGGAATGCACTGCTTAACTTTACCGCACTTCACAACAGTATGTTAAGATATGCCGTCAAAAGTCTACAACCGTTGACTGCTATCGTCTTGAGGACCGTAGGCAGTCTTCACTTGCCTACACTGCTTAGATCAATAGTCAAAGACGTCATGAACTGATACCATGTCTTCAAAACTATTTCTTCGTTGGCCAACTTCACACGTCAGGGTGGTCGGTGACAGCACACTCGGTTCACATTTAGTGAACAAGTGGAATACTTCGTTACCAGTTCTACATGCTACTTAGTAGTCTTATCGGATGCTTCACTATAATCTCAAAAGTGTTCATTTCCAGGTATTACTTGAAAAGTACGAGAACATCGTGTTAATGCTCATTATTTCTAAGGTCTTCAGTAAGTATATTCATCTCATCTGATCTGTCAACCACCAGGAATCATATAACATTTCACTGTTTTCGAGCATATCTTAATTCAGTTCGTATGTGACGCAAAAGAAACCTTCATACGGTGTTCAATCTTTTCTCCCCCATATCACTATGATAAGCCAAGTGTGAATGCCCAGCATAATTCCTACTAGATATTCCAATGGTTCTTTATTCAAAACAAAGTTGATGGAACATAGGTGTCGTATCAGATAATACAGCAACTTCAAGAATACAGAAATGTGGTGAAGAAGCTAGAAAAATGAGTTGCTTTTATAGGATCTTGCCTCAAAGATAAATTGAAAGAGGTATTTACTACTTTGGTTTTACATTTCATTTGTAGAGAAAAGGACACGGGAAGGCTGCAGCAGGGTCGCCACTGTCTTCAGTTATGAGACATCTCTGTCATCATCCCAAGTCAGATGTGTGTGACTTCCCAAACACTATATAGGGCATTATGAAGCACCAACAAATCCTAACTTAACACAACTCTCACCCCCTGACTCTACGTCATGAAGTGACCACACCTTCGCTACTTCCGTCTAGCCTCAGGACAAGCGAACAGTAAATGACATGATATCCTATAGGACAATATTTGTCACCCACTTTCAAGCCACTGAGGCTGGTGTTTCACTCGATTAATAAGGGTTGTCATTAATATATGCCAAGAACTGACATACCTAACCTAAGTAATATTTCTACCAGTTGTAAGTGATCTTATGAAGACAACGGTGACCGAAAATGCAATGTTGTTGGTTATGCTCAGCTTCAAGAGACCAAGTTTCACAGGCGTTGAATGAGATTGCCCGCGGTGATCCGTCTTATTTTCCACCTTTTGCAGTAAGATTAAAATCGCGATGGTGGCCTAGACTGTATGCCACTTTGGCTTTTGATACACGAATGGCGATACCGTGAGTCACACCCACCAGCACGCGTACAATTGCCTAGGTAAAAAACTTTCCGACAACCGTCAGTGACTTACCACCAAGAGTGAGTGCAAGTACAGGTTTTTGCATTCTAACAGTTCAATGCAGATTACACTTAAGGATACTGTTTGTTATATGAATAGGCTGTATGTTGTGGAACGACGTCTGTATGTTTGAGTTCGAAGTCTTAAACTGAAAACAGGTCTACACCACCACACTTCTTTTGGGGCTGTCTCGAATGTCGTCGGTGGCAAAGTTGAATAGACTTGGTGAAATCGGACATCCCTGCTTAGTCCCACTATTGATTTGGGACAATAAAGATAATTGTTTGTTAACCTTCACTCTACCTGTGTTGAAGCAAATGGCATTCAATACGTCCTAGGGACACCTGTTTACTAACAGATAATTCGAAGGTACAGTCCTGTGGAACCAATCAAAGGTAACCCTACTATGGAGAAATACGACGATAGTTGGCCCGAAATACGTGGTAGCGTTCAAGCATCTGGCGCAGGGTGAACGCTACCGATGCGTTCACGACCTGGATGAACCCAGCCTGCTCATGGATCAGATTCTCACGTTTTTCAGAGCCTGTAAAATGTGATAACCGACACTATAGACGCTAGCGGTAGCAAATTAATACTCCGCTGATTGTCACACACACTATTTAAACCCTTTATAAAGATGCGTACAGTAGTGGACCCACTTCAATGTGATAAAACATTCAGTCTGTATACTTTTCGAAACAGTTTAGTCAGTTTCCTGACTGGTCTCATCCAGGAGTAAGTTGTCTCTGAGTTCCTTACGAGGCTACACTTCTTGAAACGAAGTGCGAACCACCAAATTCAGTGTTGCACAAGTATTAGGTCAGCCTGACTGCATTGGAAGCATCCTACGTGTGTATGAAAGTTTGTGATCAATGAACCATCTATTTCATAGGCCGTCTCAGTGACGTCGGGCTCTTGCTGCCAGCATCTCAGGTGAAATGGAACGGCTTCCGACTATTGCCGAATGTAACCGCTTCTTCCATCTTTTTCATACATTCTGATAACAAGGCCTCGCGATCCGTTCGCAAACGCTGTTCGATCTGTCGTTTGTGGGACTTACGCACACCATGTACTCACTACCTTCCAGAATACACCGATGGACGTCAAGAAACTGCGAGGTCGAAGAGACCTAATGTTTATTAACGGAATGTAATTTAGAGCCATAGAATACTCAGCATTTTCATGGTGTCTGGTAGGTTCCGCCGATAGCCATTTATAATTTCTAGAATTACGACAACTAGCCTCGAGTCTAACTCGGTTGGGTATTCAGTTGCAATACCAGTTTGTTCACGTTGACCCATTTCAAACGACGCTTTTGATGACTACTAGTACACAAGATGGTCTCGATCCACTAAAGTGTGATCAGAGTCCAGACAGGTACTGTAAAAGAAATGGTAGTTTCTAGTTATTCGATCTGCAATGGACTTTATTTCGTTGGCCACGTACAGGACCTTCTGACATCAAACACCCGACTTGTGTATTCAAGTTTGCAGCTAGTACTTGAATATCTGTTGAGTGTACTTGGTAAATGCCGTTTATTTGATGGCCTTTTACCCTGGCACCACACAAATGAGTGTTAATGGAGATCCAGTCTACTATTGCAAGTTCGGTGAGACACTAACAAGAGACCGGCCGCTAAAACTAGAGGATCTTCGGATAGTTTTTTACCGCTTTTGTTAAAGAAAGATCTCTGGTAGTCAGCCTTCATGCTGTGCTGCTATAGAGTTTTTCTCAGCTTCGAGAACAGTTGGGTAACTGACACGCCTCATTCCGGTCCAAGCTGGCTCCCGGGTAACTGAACCATTGCTGTTGGCCAGCTGGTCAGTGCTTTAAAGTTCCGCTTAACGTTCCAGCTGTCTATCGTGAGAGGTTATCAGGAACTCATCCTTTTTGATGATGGTTTCCTGAACCATCATCTATTTGATTTGAAATAATTACCGAGTATTACCTACCGCAGATACCTTCTCCATCTCCCAGTCGTAGCAATAACGTTTTAGATATCAATAGGTGCAAAATAGATGCTCATGGGAATGCATAAGCACTTCAGTATTTGATTTTTCAAGCTATCACAACCATGACAAACTATTGCCAATAGTGATATATAGGAAACTATTACTTTGATATAATACTGCATTTGATCACTAGATGGTGCACTGTAAATACTACTGATTTGATACACAGGGGATTAATATAGATGTACAACAAGGGAAAAGGATATGTTGTATGATGCAAAGTTTAGTAGCGCTTCTGTTTTATGTACGAAGACTATGCTGGAATCGTTTCCAAACTGTCAGGGAGCTTATGATGCCTCCATTCTTGCTTTTGACGGTTGGCAGCAACTGCACTGTCGACAATCGCATCCATCATATCTTCTGTTAAAACACCATTTTCACTGGAATATGCAGCTGTCTGTAAAGATGCGGAAATTGAAAAACATTAAAAAGATGTATGAAGCAACTTTTAAACATCACTGAAAGTAATAAATAAAGAACACCAATGACTGGTGTCATTATGAACAGTAGTTTTGCTCGAAATATTGTCAAAATTAGACAATATATCATTGTTTGTAAATATTCATTACCTTTGTTTACACAAACATCGACTGGCTATTAAATGTCATGACATTTCGTCGCTCATATCAATACACGTGTACAACTATGGTCGTTAACTTATTTTTGGATAGAGGAAACTCAAATATCAGACAAGTCTTAGAAGCTTGTCATTCAGGTCAATCAGCAGTCGCTTGATGTATGGAAAGACTCAATCTACTAACCAATAATAAAAATGATAAACAACCCCAAAGTTAGAGGTCAGGCAGGGAAACAGCCAATAAGAAAACCCATGCAGTCGACAACACATCAGACGAAGCTACTGAATCAATCACCAAGAGATAAGGATAGCTTACTACTTCATACTGAAGTTGATGCTGAGACTGTCGTTCAGTAAAATAATGAAAGCCTCACGAGCAAACCACTTAGCTCAGATAAAGCAACAAAACCAGTATCATCCGCCTGAGCTGTTTCCCATCATTTTCAACATTCATTACAAATATATTTATAATACATTGGTTCCATTCCACAGGGTACAAACTTCTTATGAATGCTCCAAACTGCTTGCTGGCTGGCAGGCAGTGGAATCTAGGACGCGCATTTTGTCCTATTGGGGACTCGTCAGCTGAATGTACCTGCACCCCAGTGAGTGTTGTTCCCACTGGGACTCGAACCAAGTACCCAGCACTTAAAACGCCAAAGCGTTATCTACGAAAACCTCCCATTTCATGGATGCAGTTAACACATTATTCCAAAAAACACAAAGCCATCCCTTTTCGTAGTATTGACTTTGATGTCAAGTTTGTTCTACTTAGTCACTACATAACATCTAAACATAGTAAAATTTTCACATAAATAGTTCGACAAGTCCATGTGTGATCAGATTGTTCGAAATGTACAGCGCTAAAACATCACATGTTTCAGATAATCTTCGTCTTCACATTACGCTGTTTAAATAGTAAAATAGTATTAAAAAAGTAGAGATTCATACTGTATCCATCAGTATTAAGTAAGCTAGTCAAAAGAGGTGCATCGAAAAATAAGACCATCGCTATTGTACAAAACAGCCAAAATATGACTCAAACCGAAATTATCAATTATTATTAGACAGGCTAATTAAAATAATATTTTTATATTTCAAGTTGTTATTCATCGAAGACTGACATCAGTTGGAGGAACAAAGGAAACCTGGGAGCACTGGACAGCTGTTTCGTCACACTAGTATGGGACTCCTCAGCAGTGCGCACCCACGACCCCACCAGCAGGGATCGAACCCGCAACCTTCAGGTTCCGCGACCAGCGCCTTACCATTGAGCCACTGGGTCACAATCCAATGCTCCATATTTCCAACTTCTGTTAGCTCACGATATAGCGCGAACCGCCACCCAATGTCATCGTTGAGTATTTGTCCTCACGGCCATCAGGCTTGACTCCACCGGCCACGACTTGTCATTAGAAGTTCGGTGAATAACAACTTGAAAGATTTCCAAATCTCCACAACCCCCTCAAAATTTAATTGAACTAGTGCTCGTTGGTGACTAGCTTCGAGAAGTATTCCCGAAGTTCCAATGACAAGTCGTGACTGGTGGAGTCAAGCCTGATGGCCGTGAGGACAAATACTCAACGATGACATTGGGTGGCGGTTCGCGCTATATCGTGAGCTAACAGAAGTTGGAAATATGGAGCATTGGATTGTGACCCAGTGGCTCAATGGTAAGGCGCTGGTCGCGGAACCTGAAGGTTGCGGGTTCGATCCCTGCTGGTGGGGTCGTGGGTGCGCACTGCTGAGGAGTCCCATACTAGGACGAAACAGCTGTCCAGTGCTCCCAGGTTTCCTTTGTTCCTCCAACTGATGTCAGTCTTCGATGAATAACAACTTGAAATATTTCCAAATCTCCACAACCCCCTCAAAATTCAATATTTTTATAGTCCCAGTTTTGCCTGAATTTATCGACATTATTATTAACGAACTATCTGCAAATAATATCAGTTAGAATGATCATAGTGAACACAATAGTACTCAGTTGTGAATCATGTATACAATACTGCGGTTGGAGATAATAGGCATGCTTCTGATCGAAAAAATGTAAAGGAATTTATAATTTAGTAAACGGCTGATGTGTCTGCTACGAAGCCTTACCAATTTTGTGAAATTTACAGAAGATAAATAGCCAAAAAACAACAAATGTTTTCTTTCCAAAAATATGAAGAATTGAGTGGTAGTATTCTTACTTTCCAGTTGAAATATATTCATCATCATCAAGATCAACATAGGACCAGGTATTACTGCTTAACGGCCCTAGTTGCTACACCTCATATCATCGCACCAAGTAACAATGATGATGAACAAGGCAATAAAATGGGAGATTAAGAAGGAAAGAAAAATCGGTCAGAGCAAGTAGAAGTAGAAAGTGATAAAAGAGAGAAAGGAAGAATGAGATTAAGTATAGCGATTAAAATAAGGATAATGGGTGTATGCATCTGCGCCACTGACATCGGTTCTGAGCCATACCAGTTGAAATCTCCAACCACTGGTTTCTATTGTAACGCCCATCCCAACCGGCTATTTTGCATCGCCCTATATGGCCCAAACCAACCAGTCAAGGACTTCATACATTGGTACTATGTTTTAGTCTGGCCACCCTGAGCTTTATCCAGTCTGAACCTACTTCAGCCAGCATAGTACGACGAGACAGACGATGACTGTCCCAGTCATCTCAGTCGATGAAGGTTCACAACCTTCTGCCCAAAACTCTACGTCTGACTTCTGCGGTACTCACGTGGTGATACCACGAAACACAACCTATGCTACGAGGGCAACGGTGGTCGAACACCTGAAGCCTTCTCATATCTACTTTTAATGGTCATGTTTCACAGCCATACAGCAGGATAGAGCGAAATGCACCATAGTACACTCGACCTTTAATAGACAATCGGATATCGGGGCGGTGCCACAGATGGCGTAAGTTGGCAAAAGCCAACCGAGCCTTTTTTTTATTCGTGCAGAGATTTCGTTGGCCACTGATCCACCAAGGCTGAAATATAGTACACAATGATCAGTGTTTACATGTACTCACTATTTATTGAATGATGATTAAACGAAGTCGGTTCGAGGAATGTTCACTCTAATACAAATAAATTTGGTGCTAATCAAATTGGAATCTATTTTATATCACTAAGCAATCAACAATTATTTTATTCCCAAAGTTAGTTGATTGATTTCAACCAATGGGTTACGGATTCGAACACCACTATATCCTACCGACGTTTAGGCAGTCAGGTAGTATCATTAACAGTCGTGACACAACAGGTGTAGCGCATTGCCTACTGTATGAATGTGCGCAAAGTCAAAGTAGATTTCAATTTGGACAAACCACCCTTTAAAACCTACATCTCATCCCTTTGTAACGTACATTCTACTGCTAATTACTTGATATTTGAATTCACTATTCAAAAAGCTACAACTTAATGGAGATACCATTTAGTGAGATCCTATTCCACAGACTATAGAGAAGCATTACAAGAATTTTTTATCCAGCTGAATGGTGTCTACCGTTTTGTAGTCGACGATACGTTTCGTGTTAAAAGAAGGACAAGTTACCTAGTTTCACCACTTTCATGTGTATTCACTAGTTTAATTGCCCCTGTTGAAATGGTTATATCGGGCGTACGACTAGGTAACTTAACCAATATATTACCGAACATCTAACTTAATGGCTGGGTTAAGCAACAGGTCAAATCTACCTACCTAGTTGATCACAGAGAGGATAAAAAGAAAGCGTTAAAAGTGATTGGCCGTATACCATTTAACCTTTTTGATGGAGTTCGAATTTAACGTTTACACACAGCTGAGGCTATAGGAATTTGAATGAACCATCCTAAGCTTTATGTTCAGAAGAAATTTAGACGACCATTGGCTAGGGAAAACCTAACGGAAGATCTTATGAATTTTATAATGCATTTCTTCCCCTTTCTACTTGATTTTTGTCACCTTTCACACAACTATATTCCCATTCAAACTTTATTTATCCACTACCTTCATCTTCCAGTACTTCGTAACCTTACTGTCTTTTTCCAAGCTTTGACCCACTTTGTTTGTCTGTCTGAACATATGTTTATATTGTCGTATCGTTCTGAAAATTCGTATCATCCTTTATACTACCACTAATTTTATTTTTGAGGTAGTTTTTATCACGGACTGATTTCACTTGGGGAACAACTGAAACCTGAAAGCACTGGATAGCTATTTCGTCTTAGTATGAGGCTCCCCTGTAGTACGCATCCACGAACCGGTTGGGGACCGAACTCAGAACCTTCGGGTTTCACGGCGAACGTGTCAACCATTGAGCCACTGGATCGGAATTCAGTGGTTCGCAGTATCCAACTTCTGTCAGTTCGCGATACAGCGCAACTATAACCCAAAGTCTTCAGATGGCATCCGCTTCCCTTCCAACTGAAACCTGAAAGTCCTGAGTTTGGTCCCTAGCGGGATCGTGGGTGAGTACCATTGAGAAGTTCCATACCGGGACGAAACAGCTGTCTAGTGATCTTTGGTTTCAATAGTTCCCCAACTCATGTCAGTTCATGATGAATACTACCTCAAAATTAAAATCCCCACTGGTCTCAAAAAAAACAATTTTATGATTTTAAGGTAAACAATCCGTATCCTTGTTGTCGTTGACTCACAAATTACCTTGATTAGTTAATATTTTATAAATATATTGAAAGTTGTGTCATATTAGAGTGAAGCCTGATGGGATCTAATTGGAAACATTATTATTCGCTAACAAATCTTGTTGTACGTTTGATAAGATCTACGATTTCATCAGTGATAATCAGACTGAAAAATAGATATGCTTCAATATGAAATCCATCTTCACACATCAGCCAGCTGTGTGACTGACCAAAAATCCAACATTTTCCTTTGAATGATAAGTTCTACCAAACACCATGTCTGGTGAACTTTCCAGTTCAGCACTGGAAGAGATGTCTGTCAGACTTTGACGTATATTTAATTTCAAGACTTTCTGAATAATATACAAACTTGAGAAGTATTTTCCATTTACGTGCATTCCCGATCAAGATAACTAAGTATAATTCAGAAATTTTGAAGAATCAATTGTGTGCATACCTGCCAACCAACTGCAATCTTTGAAATTTCACGACCAGAAAGACCAGCTGTTCTTTTTGCGACATCGGAACATTTTACAGCATAGTTTATATCTTCAGCTAGACGAATACGGTGACTTTTAGTCAATGAAGGTTGGAGAAGGAAAAGATCAAAGTAATGGCGAACAAGTCGTTCACGTTCTTCCAAACCAGGTAGTGTGAAGTGAACAATTTCATCCATACGATCATTAATTGCCCAATCAAACTGTTCTGGTTGGTTACTTGCTAGAACTAGCATAAATCTAGGAGACAAAAAGTTTACAATTACATGATAAAATAAAAAAGGCCTGAAATAAAAATTAATGAAAGAGCACGCGAACGAATTCTAAAACTTTAACGGATCGACACGCTTTTGTTGCAATCTAACCACCTTTTTCAAAAGGTCAAAATTACTGTTTTACACATCTGAAGGAATGACAGGGATTTTTATCATCGTACGAGCTTTTACCTCTATCAACTGAATATACCTTTAGGACAGACAGATTTTGGCTTGAAAGTTCTGATCATACGTGACTGTCAGCTATGATAGTTATAATCCACCATTGCTATACTGGGTCGAATTGCTTGACAGTTGGGCTCCTACACGGACGCCTCGCTACTGCCCGGTCACTGACCATCTTAATGTTTGCTTGGTGAATAGCGGTGGAATCCAGTACGCGCGTTCCGCCCTATTCGGGACTCGTAAACTGGGTGTACAAGCACCCCAGTGAGCGAGACTTGAACTCAGTACCCCTCGTTTCACACGATAAAGCTTTATCCACTAGGCCAATGGGGAACGACATCCACCTCTTGTGGAACGGGTATCAAGTACTGTTTGATAAATGTAATCTTCCGTTGCTATACTTAGTCGAACTGATCAACCTCTTTTTGAGGATAGGCTCCTACATGGATGCCTCGATACTGCCTGGCCACTGATCATGTCAATGTCTGCTTGGCGGATAGCCACCAATTCACGAATTTAAAGGGGGAAATACTGTGGGATGTTTTCAAAAAATAGGCCCGGTCTACATTCGCGATTATCAACCAGAAAAATGGAAATGAGCAGAAGGCCTGATAGAAGGTCAATATGGAACTCTGATGTACGACGTTAAAGTGGGGCATGAAAGATGGGTGAGACACAAAAATTAGATGCAATATCGCCACGCCATGTCCTCAGGATCTGAGATACCCTTAGAACTGTTACTTGAAACTGAAACTACCTCCAGTCGATGCAGAATCAACCAGAAGGAAGCTGCAGATCAAAAAAGAAGTCTCTACCTAGGCGACGATTCGATCGCAGATCTCAAACGGTACGTTTTCAAATAGATCCAAAAGGACGGAGGTACTAGATTTTGCTGTCGTTGTTGTTGTACATGTTCACTTTTCTGAGCGAAAGGTGCTATATAACTCTGATGTTGCCTAACTTTCGCTTGATATTTGCCGATAACCTTATACTAACTTTACTATTGCTATCATTGCACCGTTGTTAGCTCTGGGATTTCCCAATGTTTTTGAAAGCTGAACTCTCGTTGGTTGTTAACTCTTACCAGTGAATCTAGAGCTTGTCAAGGTCATTTAGAATGTATATACTAACTATCGCCTTTAACCGTTTTTGAGACATCAAAAACTCTGTCAACAGTCCGTCTTCCCTTTTTGTCTTCACGTGTCGATGGTATTGTTGTTTTGATGGTTGACGTTATGATTAGCGTTTAGATCAGATTTGTTTGTGCGTTAGGTTCATGTCGCTCGTAAACTGCTAAGTCGCGTTTTCCGGTCGTTGTAGAATTTTTTTAGTTACAGACACATTCAGTTGACTCGCTGGATAAATGAAAAACTGAAACTGCTAGTACATAAAGCCGTGGCACATTGTTTCCTACCATTAAGCGTCGAGTTAGGCGGGTTTAAATCACAAGTGGTTGAGAGAGTACAGGACGAACATGATAATATTTTGGTGTCTCCTGAGGTTTGACGTTTTCTTGGACGTGTCGTCACCAGGCTAAGTGACTTCAACAACATTTATTTAATAGAGAAATAACGCATTCTTAACTTGCCGACCCTGAGTGTTATCAGCTTATGAACTGTTTCTTCATGATAATTGTTATAAGCATTTGACCTCTGTTGCTGACCTAACGTTTGATCATTGATCTGCTCGATTGATTTGTGGTTGCATGATCCTTCTTAGTAGTCCATGTATTAGGTCAATTATCCGTGTGTGTTGGTTACCATTCGATTGAAGTATCTTGTTTACAAAAGTTATCTGGCAGTTTTGGGATCGCTAGTTGCAGCATTTCCACACTGTCCCAATCGAAGTTGTAGTTGTGCTCATCTACATGCATCCATATCAGTGATAACACATTATGTCGTTTGACTGCAAGTTGATGCTTATAAATTCCCTGGGCTATTCGACAGCTGGATTAGCCAACATAGTGATGTTGAAAGTCTTCAAAACTTACTCGTCTTGTCTCCTTTGAGAAATGGATCCTTTAGCTTGCATAAGATTTTCTGAGTGGATGTGGTTGGTTTGTGCACCAGACTGATATTGAGTTGGTGAAGTAACCGGTTGCCAGTTTCTGAGACATCTTTGATCTATGATTCATTTCGTAGCCTGACGTAACTATTTTGATCAGTGTTTTGTTGACAGCCACTTCTTGATGAAGTTGACTGGATAATCATTGACTCTGATCCCTGCAAAGGTGGTTTCCTACTGACTTCCATAGTTGCTGAGTATACTGTAATGAGCTTTGGCACATGCGAATATTGCTTGTACACAACTTGTATGAGAGGTTGAGCTGTTACTCTTTTAGTTTACAATTTGATGTATGTCGTCTTACTGTACACTTGAGTCTGTTAGGATGATTAGAACGTCTAGGGATGCGATTTCGTTATTCTATTTTGTTCCAAAACCTTTCATCCGGTAGGACAGTTGGTAGGTGGTATGCATGTACTTAACACCTGGAGGCAAGATATCCTTTCGTAAACATTCATATTAGAAGAAAAGTTGTCCTTAAGTTGATTGTCAAAGCATAGAATTCGAGATGTTAACGATTATAAAGGACAAACTCTGATTAAAAGAAAATATAATCCCTACCAACGAGACAATAATACTCAAAGTCGGCGAACATCTTTCATGGATATTCATGCAACCTAAAAACCCCCTACTTTTTTATGAAATCAATGTTGATGAAGTCAACTAGCCGAGTGACGAAACGTCCGAAAACAAACATCAAAGTTCAGGGAACATAAAGAATTGTCAAATCGAGTAGCATCATATAGTCTGATTCAGCTTGGTGAATACGCCTAAAATCAGATTGCTGAGCCACATTATTCACTGTTGTAGAGTTTGCAAAATTCGTCCCTGTGCAAAAGATAATTCTGAAGCTACAAAAAGCATACCGGTGCTGATGATATATGAGTAGAACTAATCCCATAAATCTGTGCATTTTCCATAGGCATTAAAGTCTGACAATGATCCTAAATATGTATGAAATACGATCGGGGATTACATACCATACGCAAACTCGCAAAGATACAGATATGCTATGAATAGCGATTGAAGTTACGTTCTACTCTATGGCTAGGAAACATGGTCATTAAATATAGAGGATATGAGAGGGCTTCTGGTGTTTGCCCACTATTGCCTTCGTAGCATAGGCCATGTGTTATGGCGTCACCACGTCAGTAATGCAGAAGTCAGGTAGAGAGTTTAAGGGAGGAGAGAAAAGTCAGCTGATTAAGTCATGAACCTTCATCGATTCAGACGGCTGGGAAATGTGTTACGCATGCCAAACCACCGTCTGCCTCGTCGAGCTGAAGTAGGTTTAGGTTAGAAAAAGGCTAGGGGCAGCCAGACTAAAACATCACATCACTGCATGAAGTCCTTGACTGTTCGTTTGAGTCAAGTAGAGGGATGCAGACTAGCCGGTAGGGGTCCAAGTACTAACACAAACCAGTGGGTGGAGACTCTAGATGACATGGCTCAGAATCAATGTCAGTGGTGCAGACGTATCCATACCTAATCTTTATCTCAGACGCTATACGGATTTCAGCATTTTCTTCCCATTCTCCCTTCGTCTCTATTACTGCTCTTCACTGATTTTTCTCTCTTTCTTTATCTTACTGCTTTCTTACTTGTTGAGCAGATATGAAGTGTGGCAATTTGGACTGTTGTGCAGTAATGCTTAGTACTATGATTGCAATTCATAAATCGTAAATTGATGAATTCATGAGTTACATAGAAGAAAACGAATAGCTGCTAGAAATGTGAGTTATGAATTCCATCAGCCCTGACAACATAGAAACTGTTCAATCGACCAAAGGAAGTAAAATAGATGGATCCCAGATACGTATGGTTAGTTGTATAGCTTAGCTCAGGAGCTTTCTATTGACCTATTGGTCATTATTCTCGTACTAGTCATGGTCTCAAAATAACTAGAGTCAAGTGAAGTCAGTTATTGTGTACTGTTCCATTCTCTATGTATGAAATCAGTCCTCTCATTTTTTGAATCACGGTACAATGAGAACGCAATTTCAATGTATAACTCATATAGAAAACATACAAAAGCAATGAGTATTAGACTTTGTCTTCTACTGTACAGTAGTTAGGCTGAAAATCATGTGACTAAGTGGGGAGGTGAAATTGTATGTGTACAAGATGCGACAACTGTGAGCAGAATTAATCACGTGTGAATTTAATGTCAGAAGGGGAACAGAAAAACCAAGTGGTTTGAAAATCTACCACTAGACAGATAAATGACATGTCGAATCATATCACAGTATATCATTCATAAAAGTCTAAATATTTCGTATGCTCACCTCTTTGATTGTTCTCCAGTCCTGTACAAAAATGCATTAAGAGTGGCTCGAACACCTTCACTTATTCGTTCTTGTTCCCTTTTACGAAGAAATGCATCCGCTTCATCCACAAACAGTAGAACTCTGTTAATGAAGAACAAATTAATGGAGTAAGGACAGGGTTAAAACTTTGAAGTTTCAAAACAAATAATAAGCAACTACATAACATTGGTTTTCTTCTGTGATAATGTAAAGTTTGGCAGCCTTTTACTAAGGTAGTCTGAAATTTCTGTGAGTGAGCATCGATGGTCATGTAAAGGCATATCCAAAAGAGCCATTGGAAGTGGGTTACGCTGAGTGATATTTGATCGAACCGAAATTCACTCATCAACCGTATACAATTTCGTGCAGCAGGTGACAGGCAATGATGCCACCTGGCTGGCCAAACCTCAATAGTTGAAACCGGGCTCGAACTCATGACCCACTGGTTATGAGTCAAGTATCTAGGCTAATGGATCACCATCGAGCGATGTGTATTAGAAATGCTCATCCCTTTCATTTTTATTCAACTTTTTTATCTGTTTTCCGAGGAAACACTATACATTCGTAGGCGTATTTCGTTGAGATGAACCCCACTATAGTACTTAAATGACACACGCATATGCAGTAAGCCAACTTCCCACAAAATAGAATCTTTTTAACAGCACAAAAATAAGACGTGAAATTCATTTTATAAACTTCAGGATTAAATTTGATCTGATAAGGTTAAGTAAGTTGAGCATTGGGTAAATGGATTTATAAATGAAATCGCTTCTACAGAGAATAAAGTCTGTACAAGGTATCGACTATATAAATAGTCGACAACCTGTACAGGCTTTATTCTTGGAAGAAGTGATTTTCACGAAGTCGTGAAGAGTCAGAAAATTTTCTACTGCATTAGGACTTTAGAAATATACTTTATTTATAGTGAAATTCATTTGTTATTTTTAACTGTAAGATATCACTGAAGGGATAATTTGTACTGATATATATTTTACTGGGATCCATTTATGAATAGCAGGCAGCGTCGAAGTCTTTCACAGTGTAAAAAACATATACCGCGATACAAAGTTCCGAAGCCGTATCGACTTAGGCGATGTGTGTACCATTCGACATCAAGTCATCATAATGCTAAGGTGGTATATTTCTTAATGATTATGTTGTACATAGTTGGAGGTTCCAAACAACATTGATAGAGAAAAGATAAGTCGAAACTGAAAAAGTTATTAGACAGAGTGTAATCCAGCCGCGGAATGAATCCTGGATTGGTTGTCTAAAAGTGAGTGAAAATCTGGACAGTTTAATGAGGTTAGCTAGACAATTGTAATCAGTTGTTGGAGAGTTATAGGCCTGAATATATGTTAAATTCTGTCCTAGTGTTCTTAGTAGATAATGGAGCTGTGGTTCGGTGGTTTAAGGATATGACTATCAACCAGTGGGTCACCAGTATGGGGCCCATTCCATCTACCGAGGTTTCGGAAAGCCAGATAGTATCATCAGCTCTCATACAATATATGTTGCTCATGGCCTACTTTACGAATATACACAAGGTGGCTGAGTACTATAACGGAATGCATACTAAACTCTTTAATTTTTAGGCGTCCAACTTGTTTCTTTTAGATAATCTTCTTTTAACTATCTTTGGTGTGTGATGAATTAAACTATTATATCATGGTAGCAATTATTATTTAATTCAAACACTCAAAAAAATGTTTTGCAACACTCCAAGCACACCATGTACTGTTGCTTAAAATGCAACACTCACTGGTACTCGCTAAGTTCAGTTATACTGCCAAAAAGTGTGATAGATGCAAGCTGTAGCAAACTACACAAAGTTAGTTACTACAAGTTCAAAATCAGTTGGCCAAAGAAATGCAGATATTCGAAGTTCCCATCATACGATCAAGCAAAAAGTTGCAGTTACAAAATGCAAGGGTGTTCACTGAAAGTCTGGAAAGGAAACTTGAAGCACGATTATGGGAAAAACTTGTCACGGACACTGATTTTAACTTTTGTTTGGAAAATTGGTAGGAACTAACTATACATTAACTGAATTTACCTAATAAGAAATATTAATCACAAGTACCTACCCTTTCCGACTGGTTTTGGCCCAGTCAAAAACCTTGTGAACTGCAGTTACACCTTCATTCCCCATAGGTGCAATATCTCCACCCGTCAGAATAGCATAATCCATACCAGAATGCATCGCCAAACTCTGTAGATTAAAAAAAGAAAGTAAGAAAAGAGGTAAACTACTCAGAAGGCATAGAGTTGCTGGAACACTTGAATAACACAGGTCTAGACAGAAATATCGTGGCCAATCAACTTTTTATAGAGCAATCTCTATTGTAAAATGTAACTTTACACTCAATAGTAGATGAGTTGCGTAGACAACTTATTCGTTTGATTTAAAGCAAACTTCGTGCAACATGGGCACCAAGACAGAAAAGAGGGCTACAGTAATGAGTACAGAAGCAAAAGCCAAAAACCTTATTTACTGGGAACATGTGATCTAAAAAGGCTTGTGTAAAAGCCATACCGATAGGTTTACATAAACTAATCAAAATAAGAACGCGTTAACTGAATTTCCGTGCCAAATCCGATTACAACAAATGAATTTCCTACATATATCCTACCCAGAGAATCTACCTTTTTATGGGTGATGGCACTGTACATTAAAAATCAAAAACTAAAGAATAGAATCTATCTATCCAACAGTAAAAAAGCCAACCTAAATACAGTGTTGAAAAACGCACCAGTCCTTATGTTATAATAATCCCTAAGAAATGGTAATAGATAAAACGGTTTCGAAAACTCTAAGATTTAAAACCATCCGCTGGTCGATTGGTACTATGAAATAAAAAAAAATATTGGGAATCAGAGAGGTCTCAGATCTAGCAAAAATACGACCCAGCAAATCATATACAGGTTGTATACTAGGGCTCATGGTATAATCTGACTGTTTAGACCCTGGGTTAAAGGTGTATCAACCGAAAAACTTTCTTTACCAGATTCCAAATACAACCACAGCTGAAAGTGTTGGATGCAGGTTATATTCTTTAAGTTGAACGTAGCCTTTTTTGACAATATTTCTTATTCAACAGTGACCATGGCACAAATATCATATCACTGAAGACTGTTTACTAGTGTAATAAATGTCACATTAGAGCTTATGTTGAACTAAGGTGTTCCCTTCGACGAGACAAGTTCAATTTTTCCAATTAGCTACCTGCTTTTTTTTAAGAAAATGACTTCTATGAATTGTACCTTCCTCTTTTGACTTAACGGTGTTTGATATCCCGGCACTCTTTACAAGTCAGATAACATTTTCTTCGGGGTGAAAATACTAAAGAAAATGAAGAATATTAAGTGTATTGAACGGGAACTTGGCATCAAAGGTGTTCTTGATTAGTGTACGTCACTGTAACCTTCGATTTATATTTCGAAACTTCTCTAGAAACACATATTTAACTACCCGGATACGCGGACTTCATGAATACTTCCAATAGTTTGCTTACAAAGGTATTTACAAGCACACGTTCTTGGTAATCTGGTGAGTCCTTCGTACTTTGCTTGTGTGGAGCATATACATACGTGTACTGATTGCTAACTAAGTGATCTGAGCAGCTTAGGCTGTCGCAGAGGAGAAAGATATCTTCCGCATATTCAATGTCGAAAAGTTCTTCCTAGTAACATATCTACACTACACGTACAATACACTGCTGTCATGTTGTGTGCGACAGTTTTCAAGCGTCTGATGAAAACTAATCAGATAATTTATATATATATATATATATATATATATATATATATATATATATATATAGGCAGGCTTAAGTAAACAGTTGTTTATACCATGAATAAGTAAAATATTGTCAATGGGAACTTACTTTTGCAAACATAGTCTTTCCGGTGCCAGGTGGACCAGCCATCAGAATATTCCTGTAAAAGCCACTATTTGCTTTAGTATGTCTCGTTGCAATGGCAATTTTTCTTAAAGATGCTTCCAATTCTGGCTGTAGAGGAAAAAGGAATAAGCAAACAATAAACACCTGAAATCTTCGTCAGATATCTAATTAAATGTACTCAAAAGTGTATATGTATGCGATCATTTACTACAACTGTGCTCAGACAACCGCCTACTTCTGCCATCACGATCTTCAAACATTAGGAGATGCATCGTCTGACATGATATTCATCGACCTCAACTCAATGGTGGACACAGATAAACCGCATTGCTATCAGTTATCGCTGGAGAGGGTCAGTGATAGATTGTCACTTGTTTCGGAGCACGTGGCTGGACAGTGATCAAGTGATGCTTCAAGCAAGTGTATATCTGCACCGTAATTAGCGTACGAAAACTACAGCAACAACACCATCTCTAGGGCAACTCGACGATGAGCATACTAAGGTCACTTTTAATGAGTAACCGGCTGGACAGTTGTCGCAAAAGGATGTCACTCATCTGGAAGAAGACTAGTAACATCTGCAGTAAAATCCACACTAAAGACCGCATCTGACTATCAGAAGGGGGTTACAAAGATTTAGTGGATCTTAGTAACTTCTTCTGAATAATTGGATGCACGTGAAAATAGTCCTGCAAAATTGTAAACCGAGCAGTGGTGGATAATGAAGGCTAGAGAGATGGAAAAAGCAGCGGTGATGGGTAGTGGTAGATAGTTGTCTACGCTTATCAAATCAGCTGGAGTAAAATCGTAATTAGTTAGTGAGACTATAGTGGAAAAGGATGGGTCTGTGATTATGTCGCAGGAGAGACAACTGAAGTGATAATCAGAACACTGTGACGAACAGTTCAACTGACCTTTAGCTACGATTCCGTTGCCTGCTATTGAGATGGGTGTGCAATGGAACATAAGGATAGGGAATTCAGCACTTGCTGAACTCGAGAAGGCTATAAGCAACTTGAGACTAAGAAAGGCATTAAGGCCAGATGAACTAGTACCGGAAATATTTAAGTACGGTGGTTATGAGCACAGCTAGCGCATGCGAATCAAATATGATACCCTCTGATTGATTTTAATCACTGATCGTCTTCAAGAAAGGTGGGAAATAATCTTATGATAGCCAAAGAAGACTCAGACTGACGAACATAATGTCTTTGATCATAGGTCCGATAGTTATTAGGTAATTAAGCGAAGCCTGGGAACAGTAAACTATATAAAATCAGGTAAGTTTCGGACCTGCTCGTGGGTGTATTGGTCAGATACTCACCCTCCGCCAGGTTCTGGAACACGAGTAAGAATCGAAATTAACTCCGAAACCCCGTGTAGTAGGAAACGAGCTACATCTATTGTGTGAGGGCTAATGATACTGCCTGGTTGCCCAAACCGCGGTAGGCGGAGCTCGAACTTGTGACCCTCTGGTTGAAAGTCATCTCCCTAAACAATGGAGCCACAATTCTACACGAGAACACCTACTGGGGTCCGATACTAGCTACACGTCTTGGCATTAAAGCAGCATTTGACGTTTTGGACCAAGTGACGATTTTGATAACAATATTCCAATATTTAGTTGACGACACAAACCATTATTTTTATTTGAATACAAATTCAATGCAGCATATACACCAGCAACTGAGGATGCAAAGAATAACAGTCATACAATACATACTACAGAAACAATTGACTTAAACTCTTCGAAAATATGGAACAAGACACCAACAAAGAGATTATAACTTTTGTATTCTCCCCCATGAATAATCCTGAATCCAGTGGGTTGCTTCACTACAATGTCATCAACTGGATTATCATGACACTGCCAGACGCTAACTCATAAAAAGTATCATTATATCTATAGGACTAAGTCATAAAATGACCACCTGAGATGCACTTGCTAATAACCCACTTTTTATCATTCCACCTGAGAAGCTAAAAATGTACTCAGTAAACTAGTTAGCGATTTCCAAGGTATCTTTCAAAGGTAATGACATCTGTCACTCATTATTCAGCTATACAAGGTAGGCGTTGTAAAGAACATGGTAACAACTGTATCGAAAGTGCATTAAGTGCCTGACATACAATACTTATTCTGTTACAATTTACACTTCGTAACTCAGAATAAAATAACTACACATAATGCAACTTAGCCACCATTTGCAAGTGTATGTACTAGATGATGAACTAAATCTATTATAAAAAGGTAAATGATGCAATCTGTTTAAACATCAGTAGTTGAAGACAGAAACAAGCATGAAACTTTTTAACATATGGTCAAATGTATGAGTCCTTCTACTATTCAATTAGCTGAAGGATTTGAAAAACAAAATTGTTCAAACGATTCAACAAAGCACTTTACAAAATCAAAGTATAGGCACTGGATGGGACAATAAAAGTTGAGTGGCTATCAGACGAAACAGAACGGGCGGTGAAAAATCAAAACATCTATCAAAATAAATAAAACACTGTATTTATCAAGATGGTGTTGCTTTCAGTATTCCTGTTTCCAGCATGTGTTTGAAACATTTTGATTTAGCAAAACAGAAATATAGCCATTAGCCTTTGGCGGCGGGGGGGGGGGTTAAAGCTAACTGCTTGTCCAGCTGAAAGTAGATGTCTCCCATGAATGAGTACAGACAGAAGTTAAATAAATGGTTTTGCAAATGATGTTATTCACTCAGATAAAATGGCATTATAAATCCGCTTACAATGAATGAAGAACACCATCTAAATTATTCAGTCTTACAACAAACCTATCTGTTGTTGTGGAACAATAGGAAGTATTTGGTGGATTACATGCAGATGTGGGAGCTAAACTTTGACAAACCTTTCTACAGGAAATATATAGACTAATTTATTGCATCTAAATGCCGGTCACCCGTAAGAGGTTTGCAATAGATGCTTGGAACAAAATTTACAACTTCGTCAGGTTACAGTTTGCTTTTACTTACTAGTTCCAAGTTATATGGAGATATAAGGGTCCTCTCCATGATAAATTTATAATACCTCTAAATGTGATATGCTTATAACCTTTTCTCACACATCCACACTACTTAGTCTTCAATACATAATCCAGAGAAGGAAAATTCTACGGAACTAAACACGTGATGCGTAAATGAGACAGTTCAACCCATCTTATGAGAAAATAGTTGCTCCTTTCGCTTTATTGGTGTATATATTGGTCAGACACTGGGATTAATGGAGATTTTTCAACTACATTTAGCATAGGTAACTGAGATGCAAATAATGGAAAAATAATACACCTTACACCAACAGGAGAAAAGGAATAGCCTTTTTCACCTATCTAGGCAACACTGTTTCAACTACAGGCGCCACAGGCACAGAAGAGGATGTCAAAGTCAGAATCGGAAAAGCAAGACAGGTGTTCATTAGCCTGTAAACCAGTGTGGAGAACTTCTGCAATCAGCATGTGGAACAAGATACGGATTTTCAACACCAACGTCAAGTCAGTGCTTCTGTATGGCTCAGAGACTTGGCGCGTTACGAAAGGGATTTCCAATAAACTACAGACATTCATCAACAACTGCCACCTACGCTGGCTCGATACTGAAGATCAAATACCCAGAAAGAATAAACAACTAGGATCTCTGGCCCGGCAACGAACCAACCAAGAAGCTATCGCTCAACAATTATGCAGAAGGAAGTGGAGTTGGATTGGGCATACACTGAGAAGGCCGACTGGGGACATCACGCACTAGGCCAGGCCCTCGAGTGGAACTCAGATGGGAAACGACGAGTTGGACGTCCGAGGGTGACATGGAGGAGATCGTGCGAGGAAGAAATGAGAGCTTCTGGGCTGTCGTGGAACCAGGTTCAAAAGATTTCAGAGAACAGGGTGCACTGGAGACGTGCTACTGAACCCTTATGTTCCATTAGGAACCCAAAGGACAAATAATAATAATAATAATAATAATAATAATAATAATAATAATAATAATAATGTGACGAGAGTAAAATAAATTCGCAAAGATCTTCTATTCTCAATGAAGAATACTGCTTGCTAACTTGTTGGACCGCTAAACAACAGTTGAACTGTGAATTTTCAGCCTTGGTAATTAAGTATACAAAAGAAGAAAAAGACAACTACCAAGCCTAATTACCTCAGATATGGCAAAAACGAACTGAGTAGAGTGGCACAGGCTTTACCTTTGTGCGGTTCTAATAATCTTTGCTTTGAAAATTAAGTTTTATTTTTAGAATTTTCTTTGCACAATAGAACTGGAAAGTAAAGATACTGGTCGATGGAATGGCATATCCTGGCAAAGCATATGAAAAAGGTGAAGCTCATCATAAATCCACTCATCAGTGTGACTAATCATAAACACCGCGAAGTCAGTGGACACCAATCTGACTGGATGGACCCTAATCAAGTCGACATCATTTAGGTATGCAGCCACGAAAATATGGACAACTAGATAAGCCCTATCAAATATAGCAGTGACTGTTTAAAAAAACACCAATACGGTGATAGGATGAATGTCTGAAAAGGGTAACAACTAAACACGATGGTATGCTGGTTTGACACTTAAGTAGTTCACAGACCCAACCACTTTACTCCTTATCCTTAAACTAGGAGGAGCTGCAGACAAGTCATCAAGCATTGTGCCAAACATGCTCAGATTTTTGCTCAACGTGTTCAGAAGATGCTTCATTTTCACTTAGCAGATCAGTGTTGTCTACGTATTCCCAGTTAACCAGGGAGTAGATCAATCCCTGTGAAGTCAGACACACCTAAAGTTATTTCCAGTGGCACATCCATAACAAAATTAAGTAGCAACGGTGAAAGCAGGCATCCCCGAAGTAAACCACTAGTTGTCAATTCAAATGATAACTATCTACAACCTCTAACACGGGTTCATAAGTTCGAGTAGATAACCTAGATTAGCGATATAAACTGTTGTGACTATATTCCTTAAAATATATTGACATGAATATTATACCAGCTGTTGATCACAAGAAGCATAATTTTGAAAAACGTAATTATTTATTAGGACTATCACAAAGTAAATTTTTGGATACGTTCAAGATCAAGTACTAGGAATGAAGTCTAGAAGTGATAAATACATTTCATCCAGGATGGCGAGCATTTAGCGTTCAAAATATGTAAGATTTCAATTTGTAACCGGTCTGCATCAAGTAGTATAAGGATAAGAACTAAGTAGCTGTTTTTGTTAACCACCTAAATGAATTTGAAAGTGGCATTAGATCTCCGGTTTTAATAAGATATCTAGTTCCGCATAATGGTGGCAGAATGAATTGCACTATCAAAAAGTCGGAACCCATTCACCAAACTTGTGCACATTCGTGCAGTAGACAATAGGCCAAGTCTATTGTGTGAGGGATAATGATACTGCTTGGTTGCCCAAACCTCGGTATGTGGAGCGGTGTTCAAACTCGCAACTAGCTAGTTGAAAGTCAACCCCCTGAACCAATCGGCGTTATCCTACTTTAAAGCTAGGACGTGACCTTCAGAGTTGAATGATATGAACAGGCCAAAAAACTATCTTTAAAGCGCCTCACGCTTGATGAAACAGCCGAATGAGTTATGCTAACGTCGAACCAAGAGTGAGGCAAATAATTTGAGCAGTTGCTTAGAGCAATTGTCCTTAGAAAAGCGTCCTAGTGATTACGTCATCAACTGGAGCTATACAAGACAAACCTTTAGCCGGATGCAAGTCACTACAGCACAGAATCGACTTTACACTGTTCTACAAAAGTGCATTTTACCCTGAAAAAGTTTGTGGATAGGTGCACAAAGGATCGTTGGACCGACTGTAGCTACAATTACTGACGTCAACACTTCAAAGGAACACTTTGTAAAAGTATAGCACGGAAGAGTAATAACCATGAGCTTACAAATCAGATAAAACCATATCCCTTTTTTTAATAAGATGCTGACAAGATATCATTTAAATGAGCTTATACCGTAAATATACCTTAATTTAGTTAGAACGAATTTGTTTAGATGCAGACTTATGAAGCGCATCCTTGTAGTATGTTTTAGCACTTATTACTACTATTAGTAGTGGTGGAATGAGGGGTTACTTTAGTGACAGGGTTCGACTGCACAGTTCTAAAATATACTATAAAACCATAGGATAGACAAGAAATCTGAGACCTAGCTACTGCTTAAACACCAGTTATTCAAAGTTTTACATTATAGTGAAAAAACTATTAGACTACCTGCAACCGCAGGCATAATCGGTTAACAAAAATGTTTAAGACCTACCTGTAAAATTATACCATCTAAAGGATCTGTAGGGCGCTGGAAAGCCGTTTTTACTGTCTAAAATTTGATAGTTTATTGACGGAAACAAACCTTCACGGGATGACGAAAGGTATCTACTGCATTCAGTCGAGACGTCTCACGTACAAGTGCTGGTTTTCCTATGCGAGACTCTACAACTCTCGAGAACGTCCCAATACCATATTTCGCCCCATATACACCACCAGCCAACAAAGTTAGTGAACCAATAACTGTAGCAACCTTATCAGGTTCAGAGAGGAAACTGCTAATCCCGCTTCCAATAACAGAGCCAGCAGTCGTTATGGACTCCAAAACTGTTTGACGATACTCACGAGCGTCAACACGAGCACGTTCTAGCCGTATTTCACGATTTTCACGCTCAACCTCAGCTTCACCTCTGATCTTTGCTTCTATTTGCTTCATCTCGTTTTTATGACGTAGATCAGATTCAAATTCAATCGTGGCTGTAATGAAGATGTATTAGTACAAACATGAGCACCTCTTCGCATAGCTTCTTGTTTCTGCACAGACTCTTCTTGCTTTTTGAGGTTTTCAGCTTGGGCTTTGGCCTACAACTCTAAATACTTTATGCGCATAACGAACCTGTAAAGCCACTTGATCTTCTTGACGCTTCCGAGCCAGCATATCTTGATAGTCTGCTCGTTGCTTTTGTATTCTCGCCTCCTCTTCCAGCGTTTTTCTCCGTTCTTCTTGTTGCGCTCTGTACTGCTGAATCTTGATTTGCTCCAGTCCAAGTTCATACTCCTAAGTTCAAAATATGTATATGAAATTTTTCATGTAGGTTACGCAGTACCTTCATTTTTGTCTGGTACTCCATCTGTAATGTTTGCTCATGCCTTTGAGACAAGTCAAAGGCCTCCTTAGCATGTTCTGAAACACTGTGAGTTATAATACCAAAACATACTAGATGATTCAAGCTCTCTAGCTGCCTTTGCAGCTCTTTCAAGTGCAGCCGAGTCAAATCTGTAAGCGGAAACAGTATCTCCAGATGCCTTTTTGTCCTGTAAACTTGGTGGTGGGACAGGTGGAGGAGGTGCGTCAATTGGGATATCAAAATCTTTTGAATTCTGCTTGCCAAATCCAAACAGCCAAGACATCTGTACTTAGCACGTTGTAACGTAAAGCACCAAAACCACCCCGTTCAAGGTCAAACATACAACATCCAACACCAACAGTGGAAGAAGAAGAAACTCGTAGTTTTGATTGTATCGACCCAGTCCATTCTCTAGCTATATGAGCACAAATCGGTGTAAGGTTACACGGGTTTTCAGCCTTTGATAGGCGGTGCTCCCCGGGCTACCACGTGGACCACCATAGTTGTTGTTTAGTAGGATTCCATTGTTCGGATGACCTGCATTATATGGTAGGCCGTAATCAGGCCTCCATATAACTGGGGTAGCTAAGACAGTAAAGCTCAGGACCTTCCAGTCTGTCCTCGTAGGGTTTTGGCCGCATTCCTACAACACCCTTCGTCGCTTACCTCTGTGCCTTTACAAGGGGTTCACACCCGTCTGCAGGTTTGGTGCTGCGATGACGTTGTAAACCTCCAAATGAGGTCGTATGTAGGTCTTGTGCAGCTTCAGGAAGAGTTCCAGAGTGGGAGCACCTGGTTGTCTATGTGTGACGTGCAGTACCACGTTGGTTCTGAAGGTATTTCCTGAATAATTCCAACTGGTGCCTGGCTTGTTTGCCAGCATAAGTCCCAGGTCTTTGTCTTTCATGGTGTGGGAAAGTTTCACACAGCAGAGAGAGGAAATGCCTTTTGAGAACCAGGAAGGTGGAGAAACATGGTTCGGCATTTATTCAGATTAAATGCCAGTCAGTTATTATTCGCCCAACCTGCAAGCGATCTGAGGTCACTTCGTGGTGCATCTAATTTTGCTTCGGATATCACATCTCTCCATGACTTAACATCATCAGCTTAAAGTTAAGCAGTGTTATTTAGTGTACCCAGTCGATAAAATTACTTCACTGTGCAATGTATCTAACACATAAAGTAAACTAGAGCTTCTAAGTTGTTATTAAGCCAACGCTATTCCTTCGTTAGATGAAGGTGAACACGCCAGTCTGCCTCGGGAAGTACCGAATATCAATTTTCTACTTTAGGGGCTTGAATAAACTGGCATGTTTCCTCAGACTTGCTTCTACGTCTTTCGAAGGGCTTCACTTCTTTTGGAGCACCCCTGTGTGGTAGATCCAGTATCTCACCTTCCGTAACTCTGGTACACCAGGCTGGCGGCTGAGTGCTGATTAAATGTGAGCAAATGAACTAACTAATCAGCTTTTGCTTTTGAAGGCAAACCAATAAATGAGTACACAGCTCGTTATCATTTATGTGTTAGGAATCTAAGTGCTAATATAGCTGTTTACCTAAGTTAGCTGTGCATTGTCAAGAAAGTTGTGGATGAAGCAAATATTCTAATCTTTATGTGTAATTTTTATCTAGTTCGTTTTGTGTACATATATACCGTTTCCGTCCAACTAATGCTATATGACCTGCTAAAAATTTCGAAAGGCATTCTTAATAATGGATAGTGAACTCCCAGAGACTTCAACTTACTTATTAACAATAAGTGATCAACTGTGTCAAATGCCTTTGTTTACTCGATGTAATGATGTTGCTGCTAAGCATGTGCTGAAGGACGCCTAGCCTCAGTAACTTTCCCCTAACTGTAGAAGCTACGGTCGTAATATTTATTGGTCTGTAGTCACTGGCTAGTGTTTGTGAACCAGATTTATATCTAGCCAGGATAAATGACGTTTCCCAGATATCAGGGTGTGTGGAAGATTCTAAAGACGGGGAAAATAGTTTAAGCGATGATAATGGAACGGTAGGGCCACTATATTTGAAAAAATGTGACGTTACTCCGTCTATGCCAGCGCTGCCGGAGCATTTTAGCCTCCTAACGGCTTGGTTAGCATTAGAATGTGTGAATCCAACTGCATATACTGACATTTGTGGATGAGGAGAATAGCTTTTAATGGTTAAGACTGCATTAGTATCGCACGAAAAATTTGTAGTTGTCATGCTTTGTATCACGTGCTTTGGAATGGCTTATGGTCTGTAAATATTGTAAGGGCGGATCCTTCGAGCACGTATCTGAAATGCTTGATAGCTAAGTAAATCACCAGTAACCCTCTGCCAAATGCACTGCATCGCGATCGAGAAGCTTTAAGTTGTTTCAAGAAGAAAGCTAACGGTTTTTACTGACTGTGGACAAACTGTTGTTGTACTACGTTTACAGCAACACTGGAAGCATCTATCATGACTGTTGGTGGTGCTTCCGAATCATGACGAGAGGGAAGAGTTTCAGAACTTAGAGCTAGCTTCAGTTGGCCAAAGGCACCTAGGGCCGCTTGGGTCATGTGGAACACTTCAGCTCGTCTTGCAACAGACCTGTCAGCAGTTGGGCTAATTCAGCACACGTAGGTATGAAACACCGATAAAAGGTTATTAACCCAAGAAATCTAAGTAGCTTTCGAAACGAGTGTGAAAAAAGATATTCTTTAATTGCATCTACTTGCGGAACTGGGTTAACACCGTCAGCACTAACAATGTGATCCCGAAACTGCAGTAATTCTTTGTCACACTCTCACTTTTGAGGATTGATTGTAATGGCATATTCGCACAATCGTTCGGAAAGCCCCCTTGGGTGTTGCAGGCGTCCCGTTTCAGATACGCTGGCTATTTTTAAGTCGTCTACGTACGCACTGACGAAAGGCAAGCGATGAAGTACCGGATCTATAAATCTTTGGAAGGTCTCAGCAGCATTTGTTAAACCAAACGGCATACGAACAAGTTCGGGTAGTCCGAAATGAGCAGTCATCGCCGTTTTGTGAACATTCCCGGGTTCTACGGGAATATGGTAATAAGCTCCCACGAGGCCAGTCTTGGAAAAATACCTACTTTCGTCATGTCTTTTATAAAATGATGTATGTGAGGAACCGGATACCTATCAGGGACGTATCGGGGACGCTCGGTAATCATCACATGGTCGTATTTTACCTGGTACCTTTTTTAGGAAATACATGCAGTGGTGATGACCACGGGCTCTGGGAAGAGTGCATGGTCCCCAACTTTAGAAGTTTATAATATTCCTGCTTGGCCATCTGCAGCCTTTTAGGGCCTAACCGTCGAGGTTTTGATGGGACTGGAGGACCTTCTGTGAGAATGTAGCGTGTCACCGGAGACTTCGTGTACTCCATTTGTGTGGGTTGGGGAAATTCTCGCAGAAGGATGTTATACCCAGACGTGTTATTTATCGGAGCTACGGCTAGATTTGTTGTTTCTGACTCCGTCACGATGCCCGGGATGGAAAGTTCTCGATTGTGTCTGACCAATCTGTGGGGATTAGAGTCGACCAATCGGTCGTAGTGGTGTAGGAAGTCCATGCCGTTGATAGGTGACGATATGTCAACAATGGCAAATTCCCATTGAAGTGGGGTGTGAAAACCAGAGTCTAGGATCAAAATCCTGGTTTCACGTGTGGTAAAAGCAGATCCGTTCGCTGCTTTTAGCACCAAGGTCAGGTCGGGACGTTGTTTTCCGGAAGGTATGGTGGAATCATGTTCACTTCTTCTCCAGCGTCAACCAGAAACTGCTCTTCGGTCTTTCTATCCGTCGCCCGAAACGAGCAGCTGCGTTGCATGCCGGCGACAGCAGTCGTTACTGATCGCTGACCTTTCCGTTTCCCGATGAAAAGGTTTTAAAATCGCATGGTAACAAACATCGACGTGCTTTATTGCCAGACTTCTTGTGGTACGAGCAAGTGCTGCCTTTCGACACAGCCCTGCTCGTGGCTTTATCCCGACTGAGGGATCAACTTCTGTAGAACTTCGGTGACCGTCGGTGTTAATGCAAAGATGTCACTTGCCCTGTAAGTGTGTCGGTCTTCCTCTGTAGAGCAGCAATTCGGTCATTTTGTGTCGGCTTAACATAACTTTCAACCTGCTTAGGCATTCTTTCGTACATACGGTCAGCAGTGTCAGCCAACCTATCAATGTCAATATTCGCATCTCCGACAGCTAATATCTGTTGAGCACACGAAAGAAGTCTCCGTAGCCAAAGCTGGTAGAACAGACGGTCGTCCACATTCCTATCTTTCAACAGACTTGTATACGTCGTTTAAGTTGTGATGGTGTTCTGTCACCGTGGTGTACGTTACTTAGTAGTCGATCGACAGCGTTCTGAAGTAGCTTTCATCACTTCTTGCCTCAAAACATTATAAGGTGGGTCTGGGTGGGGCTTCAGTAGCGCCTCCCTTGCTTGATCAGGAACTTCTTCCGATAAAACAGAAGTTGTGTATCAGAAACTTCGTGTTTTATGAAGTTATATAGTTGGTCATAAAGAAATGTTCTAGATGGACAAGCCACAGCTGCGGGTCACTGAGCTTAAAAGAAGGCATAGGAAGACTAATGGCATGCATGGACCCTATGCTGGAAAAGTCCTGGTTAACAGAGTCTAAAGACATCAGTACTGATACGGAAAAAATGTAACAATTTCGAGAACCTAAAATAAAAGGAGTAGGAAGAATGCAATAAACAAATGTGTAAATGTCTACCACAAAGCAGCTAGAAATATTCTCAGTATGTATATCCATACTGTGTACAGTTGTTAGTAACTGTAGTCTCGGCAAGCAACCGAAAACAACGGTAGTATCCACCAGCAAAACTTTCGAAAGTTTGATCATATCGGGCCCACCAGTTTGTCGAGCTCTGATATCTCACTCCAAATTTAAGCACTTTTCCCGATACACTATAGCCCATTTATTATCCCCAACACTGCTGATCCACCTGCGCCAGATAGCATCAATATCGGGAGACAACCCGAGGCATAAAGCAGGACATTGTACTGACCAACGAACCGACAAAATTTGAAATTGGTGCAGTTAAACAAGTGTTCAGTTATGAGTAGTTAAATATATCAACAAAATGCTGTGAAATGAACGCTATAGTGTTCACCCTCTTGATAGTGTCTAATTCTAGTTGCCAGTCACTGACAATTGTTTCATGGTCATACTCTTGCCTGCAAGTGCCTCTGAAGCCACTATTGCATCGAGGCATTCGGTTCGGCCATCACTAAATAGATGTGCCGTGATTTTGGTTTGAGCGTGCAAGAGTGATATGGTAAGCTTCACTAGCCTGCCTTCCGTATCAA